CTAAAGCCTACATCTAGTGATGCTTGGGAACTAAGTAATGCTGAGGCCAGGACTGGGGCCAAATGTATGAAAAATGCCGCAAGGCATGCACTTAAACCCCTCCACTATCACCCTAGCCCTGAGAAAGAATTTTCAAGGTGGCTAAGTTACACTGATTCTTAGAAAATTATATTTTTAACAAATATTTGTATGTTAAATATGAATTTTAAAAGCTTAGTGATCAGATGTAATAGTGTTAGAAATGTTAGAAATTTATTATACTGATACAAAATATGTTAAAATATATCAGTATAACTCAGAGTTTAACAGATTATTTATTAATAAGCCAAATCCTTCTAATTAAGCTACTATAAACCACTGCAGCAAAACAACTACTAACCTACAAAATAGGAAATGAAGGAGATAGAGATATATAATAAGCTTTTCGGAGATGAAGAATTTATCCCGTGGGTGTTATAAAGAGCTCATCACTTAAGAATGCCAAAGCCCAAGTGTGATGATCTTTCCTCAAAAGTGACATTAACTGCATATCCCACAGATGCTTATTATGTACTCTATTTATATCAAAGTTTAAGGTGTAACATAGAGGCTCAATATATTTAATGGGTATAATAAAACACAGTTACTCTAGTGAAATATTTTTATTATAAAACTCAAAATTTTGGTGTCTTTATAATATAGTATCAGAGTATTAGTAAAAATGGTAAAGAATCTTTTTATTTGTAGCTGTTGTGACTCAGGGTTAAGTATCGAAACTTAACATTAATATTATATAATAATAATTATATAAAAATAACCCATATGTGATAATGCTATAGTAAAATCTATAAAAGTACAGCCTTCATCAGTTACTGGCAAATAAAACATAATTCAAGATGCTTTTCATCTGATTTAGAGGAAAGGAAGCTTCATTCTGAAGCAATGAGAGTAATTTTTTGGTTAATTCAAACCTGTCAATTATTTTTAGAAAATATAATTTTATAGTATTGTTTACCAGTACTGAAGATTTAATTGAAAATTAACTTTGCTTAACCTAAACAATTTATGAGCTGAAGCGATAGCACAGCGGGTATCAGCCGACTCAGTTTCGAATCCTCCGTCCCTCTCAGAGAGCCCAGCAAGATACCGAAAGTATCCTCCCTGCAAGGCAAAGCCTGGCAAGCTCCCCGTGTCGTATTTGATATGCCAAAAACAGTAACAATGAGTGCTTGGTACATCTACACAGTGGAATACTACGCAGCTATTAGAAAAGATGAAGTCATGAAATTTACATACAAGTGTATGAAACATGAAAGTATTATACTAAGTGAAATGAGCCAGAAAGAGAGAGAGACATAGAAAGACTGCACTTATCTGGGGAATATAAAGTAACAGAATGGGAGTCGAACACCCAAGAATAATTGAGATCAGTACCAGGAGATCTGCTCCAGGGCTTGGAAGCTGGCCTCACATGCTGGGGGCGGGGGGGGGGGGGGTAAGGCAGCTCAGATAGAGAAGGGAACACCAAGTAAAGGATGTTTGAAGGACTTGAGATGCGTGAGATGCGTGCTGAAAGTAGACTATAGATGGAACACGAAGGCCACTCAAAACCTCTATTGCAAACTACAACACCCTAACAGAAAGAGTGAGCAAAAGGGAATGCTCTGCCACAGAGGCGGGGTGGAGTGGGGGGGATGGAGTGTGAGAGTGGGAAGGCTACTAGGATCATTGGTGAAGAATGGGCACTGGTGGAGGGATGGGTACTCGATCATTGTATAACTGAAACTGAAGCATGAAAGTTTGTAAGTCTACAACTGTATCTCATGGCGTTTCACTAAAAACAAAACAAAACAAAACAAACTAAAAACCAGTAACAACAAGTCTCACAATGGAGATGTTAATAGTGCTCGCTCAAGCAAATCAATGATGAACAATGGGAAGACAGTTCTACAGTGCTACAAACAAAATAAGTTGTTATGCCATGTCCTAACTGCAATTATCCAGAGGAAAATGCACTGACACATAAAGTATCTGTACTAATAAGTGAGTTGTTATGTAACATTCAAGATTTCATGGGCATTTGTTCCCATATTTCAAGATAAATATCAATCTATTTAAAATTAGGATAAGCTAATATGGAATGATTAACCAATGTTATCGCAATTAATATTTTACACTAATCATTAATTCTAATTTTGCTGAGCAAATTTAATAACAAAATGCAACAAACAAGATTATATACTGGTATGTCTGTCACATTAGGGTACTTCCATATATATGTTCTTCATACTTTTAAAACAGAGTAACTGCAAAATATTTTTCTTAATGATAATTATATTCATATTAGGAAACATGTAAAGTAGTTTTAGTGTGACTTACAACTGCTCAAGATTGATTGAATTTTGAAAACTGAACTTCCAAAATAAATTGGTGGTGTTGATAATATTTTCTATTTGTACATGTTTGTGGGGACTGGAGCAATAGCACAGCGGTAGGGCGTTTGCCTTGCAAGCAGCCAACATGGTCAACCGGAGTTAGATTCCTCTGCCTCTCTTGGAGAGCCCAGCAAGCTACAGAGAATATCTCACCCACCTGGCAAAGCCTAGCAAGCTCCCAGTGATGTATTCGATATGCCAAACACAGTAACAAGTCTCACGATGGAGACGTTACTGGGCCTGCTGGAGCAAATCGGTGAAAAACGGGAGGACAGTGACAGTGACAGTGACATGTTTGTGGACATTTTGTTTTGTTTTGTTTTTTCTTTTTGGTCACATGTGGCAATGCACAGGGGTTACTCTTGGATCTGCACTCAAGAATTACTCCTGGCGGTGCTCAGGGGGCCATATGGGATGCTGGGAATTAAACCCGAGTTGGCCACGTTCAAGGCAAATGCTCTACCTGCTGTGCTATCGCTCCAACCCTGTGTTTGTGGACATTTTGAGCATGTTACCTTTACTTTTCTTTAGGACCTAATCACAATCACAACCATCCTGTTATTCGTCGATTGCCTCGAGCAGGCCCCAGTAACATCTCTTCGTCGTAGCCCTGAGTCTGGCAAACTCCCCATGGCGTACCCAATATGCCAAATATCTGTAACCAGTAGGACTTAATAGTATACAATTATTCTGTTTGAAAATAAAAAAATATTATCAAAACATATTTTAGATGATCTAAGTGAGTGAATAAGCAAAATCCTTATGATTACAAAATGCCATACAGCTCAAACTGTAGAGTCTGTAGAGAACGAGTGACTTCTTCAAAGATTAATATATGCATATGAATATTAAAGCATAAGAGTCTATAGAAAAATAACAGGATAAATGGATCAGCGGTAGCTACTAAGTCCTGGTACTGTTAGCACTGCTGAGAAATAAAGTTGAAAAGACTAAGAGTAATTACGCCACGGATCATGGGCTTTTATTGGGAAGGTACTAGCTGGATGTCAAACAAGCTCTATGAATCATTATGATGAAGAGAAAGCTGATGGAAACTAATGTCTGAAAGGGAAACTGGAACCCAACAGTTATAAATTACCGCATGTGAGCTTATGCCACCCCGGATGCGATGTGAAGCACCAACTCAGGCAAAGAAATAATGAACAACAAGCATTTTAAAGACAAAAGAAACAGGTACAACATCAATTTCCTTCCTTAAAATTTAAGACCAATTTGTGGACTTGAGCAGATAATATTTGAGGATGCAAAAGGGGTTTTGATATTTAAATAAATCAATTCTTTGAGTGCACAGGAAAGAGGAATACAGAATGTAATTGACCTTGCCACTTGCTGTTAGAGAAAAATTTGCAAACATATGAACTCAACTTACGAACTTATTTGGCAATTCATTAATCACAGACAGGCTGTCCAACTCCCATGCTCCCCAAAATGTTCTCAATTTCAGGGGGAATGATGGAGCTATTATCAAGGATAGAGTTTGACTCACAGAAATGAGAACAAGCATCATGAAAACAGGAAAGCAGATGTCTTCACTCACAGTTCAGAGCTTCCAGAGAAGAAAGACAGCTGAGAATTATTATTAGTGAAAGACTGTGTAACATGAGAGTAAATTTTTTTTAAAAAACACCTCATTGATATATGTATATTTTTGGGGGGCTATATCAAATGACCTCTGTACTGGTTTCAAAATGAACAATATCTGAGATTCTCTATCATTCAGAAAATAGGTTTGGAGAGAGAACTCACCGGGCTGAGCACATGCCTTGCACGAAGGAGAGCTGGGTTTAATACCTAGCACGATGCGGTCCCTCAAGCACAGCCAGGGGCCATAGAACACCACGAGGTGTGGCCCAAATAACACTTCCCCCCACCAAGTTCAAATATTAATTTTTATTTGTCCAGCAGCTACACTATTTACAACTTAATGCTGTCTTGCCAGTTTTCCATGTTCTACCTGGAATGGTAGAGATGAGATCCAGAGTAGTGAGTACCAACAGAGAAAATGTTCAGTACTAGATCTAAATGGTCTGTTGTTTCAACAGGAAGTATCCTGTAATTGTCTCAAGTATGACCCAATGAATTTCATATTTAGTAAAAAAAAAAATTTAAGAAAAGTACCTTTCTAAGTTGCCTACTTGCTTTATAAGCCACTAAGTGAAGACACACATTCACATGTACCCCACTTCTAAGGAGCGACTGGTACACCTAACAGATGGCATCTGGCTGATGACAAGTCACATACTACGTTCACTGAGAAATTGTATCTTACATTGACACTGCACTTCTTAGGTTAGAACAGATGACTATACAACAAAATGGAAAGAACATGGACAGACTTATAGGCTGTTTGGGTGACAAACAGGTTTTATGCATATGTGATCTGTGTGACCCTGCTTGGTTTAATGGTCTGCTATTGCCACTGAAATACTCGGACTGCAGCATACAGGACACTGAAGAGATCAGGGCAAAAAGAAAAAAGGAGAACAAGTGCTGGCCCTTATTTCTATGAATACCAGACATACGGAAATCAGCATCTATCATTGTTTTCGACCTTTTAGTACTTACAACCCATATATCTGTGGTGCAATTTCCAGTCTGTTCAAGTGCATGTAGAGCTCGATATCGTGCTTCTTCAGGAGCTGATCCTGGATCTGGTTGACTTTAGTCACGATAGCAATTGTCGGCCCTAAGTCCTGTGGCCGAGCGAAGGGAATGGGAGTCATCAGTGTGTCTTTCCCCTAAAATCAGGGGAAAAAAGGAGACATGTTTTCTTTCTATATAAAATTGATACAAATGAATATTGTTTTAAAATTCATCAGTGGTAATCTAAATAAGAGTACCAACTTTTTGTTTCCCAGTATGGGGGTTCAAACCCAGAATTTCCCATATTGCAAGGCAAATGCTTACCAATGAGTCCCTCCCAGACCCCTTCTCGACCAACAACAACTTTAACCAACTGTTTGAAAACCAGAATTACAAGTTGTGATACACATGCTCCTAAACTCCTAGGTTTAGAAAACACCTTTAAAATGTTCTCTACGTATATTACTATATACCTGTTTTCTGGAACATGACGTATTATGAGGTAAAGTTGGCTAAATAAAGAGGACGGGGGCCACTAGTCTAATTTTCCAAGGTCAGTTTGTCCAACCAACACCATTCCTAAGTGGAATATTCTGATGTTCTTGTGGCATATACCTTCATCATGAAAAAATAGTAAATGAGAATTGTTTCACTCTGAGCTCTCAGAACCATAAAAATGCCAGGACATGCATGAAAACAATACTTGGAAAAATGTTCTTTAACTTTCCTTTGATCAATTTGAATACCTGAGTAGAAGCTTTATAAACTTTCTAGACAATAGATTTAAATGAATAGTTATACGAGCCAATCACAATATACTTTATTTCTTATCATTCCCATATCCTATGTTATGAAAAATACATGTGCATTTTCTTATGCTTTCATATAAACTTTACTCAATCATATCTGAAGATTTTCCCAAAAAGATTATGTCTGGCCATCCTTCTGATATTGAGCCCTCAATTTCTACCTTTCTCTAATCATGATCACGATCATCCTGTCATTCATCGATTGCCTCGAGCAGGAACCAGTAACATCTCCTTCGTCCTAGCCCTGAGATTTTATTTTTATTTTTTTATTTTTATTTTTTTATTAGTGAAACACCATGAGGTACAGTTATAGGCTTACAAATTTTGTGCTTGGGTTTCAGTTATACAATGATCAAGTGCCCATCCCTCCACCAGTGTCCGTCATCCATCACCACGGGTCCCAGCATCCCCCCCCACCCCTAGCCCTGAGATTTTAAAAAGTGCCATATTCAAGGCTCTTTCAGGGTTAGGAGAATGAGACCCATTATTGTTACTGGTATTTGGAATATTGGGTGTGCCTCGGGGAGTTTGTCAGCCTCTGCCGTGTGGGCAGGTTACATTAGGTAGCCTGCCAGGTTGTCCAAAGTGAGAATGAGATAAGATGTCCGCATTCGTGGCCAGGCGCTTCCGGGAGCTGGGTTTTATAGTCTCGGGTCTTGGCCGTTGATGGGATTACATGGCACCAGGGGGCAGTTGGCGGGAGTGACCCCTGCCTACTGGAAGATGGAGGATCTGGGTGGAGGATGCTCAGCCCCGATCCAAGCAGGCTTGGAGATCTCAGCCCCGGGAACCGCATGCCTTTGTACCTTCACGTGTATGGAGAGTGGTCTCAGCATGGTTGTGGCTGGCTGGCTGAGTCTCCTGCCCCTGCGCCTGGCTGTCCTCACCAGGGCCCCATGGAGGGGGGCAGGGTGAGTTTCCCTCCCTGCCCTGAGCAGAGCTCTGGCAGCCGATGACCTCCAGAACCAGGCACAACCTTTCTCTAATATGGGGATTAATAGCATCATTCTTGAGTGATTGTCTGCCTACCGTAACTCACACTCAATTTGTTTCTCTACCTCAAATTCTTAGTTTTGCTTCACAAATGCTGCCTTTTCAGATAATCTAGTCTTTGCTTCATTTTCTGTTTGCAGGCATTTTCCTGAAAGATCTCAGTCACAGAGAGGGCTTCAACCAATAACCATTTTCCAAAGAATTTTAAATCTGTATGAGTAATCTAAACTCTCGAGCGTTATCCACACATTCAAAAATTGGCAAGGAATCACAGATTGCCAAAACAGTCTCTAATTCAACAGGCTCAGACTGAACTCAACCATCTCCTATTCATGAAACCAGGTGCATCTTTACTTCATGTCCAATTCCATCCAGTCTCCAATAAGACCATGAAGTTTTGCCAATTTGACTTCTTGCTTCATGGGACTTCTTGCTTTTCTTCTATAACCTTCTTGTCATAACCTCATTTGGAGCCCCAATCATCTTTCCTATCCTTCTAATTAGTCTCATCCCTTCTAACATAGTTTTCCCTTTATGTTCATTTTTCCAAATGCAGGTGATCGACCTAAAGCCAAACTGCCCTTTTTAAAGAGCTCCCCATCATTTTCTCTTGCAACAAAACTTTACAACCCATATTCTTTAGCCTGGTCTATAGTGCAAAACTTTCATTATCTGTCCAGACTCTGTTCCTACTGCTTCCAGAGATGTGACAAAACATTCTATGACTGAAAAAGACTCCCATCTTCAGTGTTCTCAAGGAACAAATTCCAGGGCCTACTGAGTTTAGATTCAAGTGTCAGGTGTTACTTCATTCTGGGCTTCCCTGCTCTGAGAGTACTCTATCATTTCTCTGTCTTTTAAACTGGGAGATCTCTAAAAGGAATACAGGAGACAAAGTTTAGAAAGGTAAACCTCTGGTTGACAGTGTCCAGGTGCATAAACTACATAGAAAAACACATGTGGAATATATTCTTCTCCATACATAAGAAGGAACTCATGGACCACAAGCAGCACAGAGAGAGGGGAGTGTTTGTTAGGACCGAAGGGAAAAGCAGCGGGACGACTCCACATGCCTTTCTAGGACCATTCCAAGTCTTTCTGTGTGCGTGACTGTGTGGTCTAAGAATAAGATGTTCATAAAAAACAGTACTTTGAAAAGATTTCTCCTATTCTCAGATTACATAATAAAGTATCTATGGCTGAGGGGGCAGATAGAGCGCTTGCTCACTAATCCAGGTTCACCCCCACATCCCATATGGGCCCTGAACTCCACCCGGAGTGATCTTGACTATACTGTCAGGAGTAATTCCTGAGCATCACCAGGTGTTGCCCCAAAATGAAACAAACAAAAAAATAAATAAAAATAATATAAAATAAAACTTCCTAAAAGCTCTAAAACTTGGGTGCTGGAGCAACTGTATAGAGAACAGACTTTTGTCTTGTGTGCTGCTGACCTGGGTTCAATCCCCTGCACCCCATTTAGTATCTTGAGCTAGACCTGAGTGATCCGAGTACAGAGCCAGGAGTAAAGGCTATGTTCTGCAGGGGATGGCCCCAAAGCAAAACAACAACAGAAAAACAACTCAAAAATATAACCATGATCACTTTAAAAACAGACAAAGGCAAAGGCAAAGGCAAACGTGGAGTGAAGTTTATTTCCTTACTTCAGAAGTCACTACAGCACAATGCTATTTACATTTAATAAATGGGATCAAACAGGTTACCTACAACTATTAGTAAAACTAAGAAAGCTTTCGAATCATTTACTAATGGGTATTTAAAATACAGACTACAGATTAAGCAGCATGCTGACTGTCATGGGAATATAGTGAGATGGTGATTATGTGTCATGTTTTTAGCTGAAACTGGGCACTGTTTCCATTCTTAAGAAACTCATTTGTTTCTTGAAATTCTTTCTTTCTTTCTTTCTTTCTTTCTTTCTTTCTTTCTTTCTTTCTTTCTTTCTTTCTTTTGCTTTTTTGGGTCACACCCAGCGATGCACAGGGGTTACTCCTGGCTCTGCACTCAGGAATTACCCCTGATGGTGCTTGGGGGACCATATGGGATGCTGGGAATCGAACCCGGGTTGGCCGCGTGCAAGGCAAACGCCCTACCTGCTGTGCTATTGCTCCAGCCCTGAAATTCTTTTTCTTTAAAAGTGATATAATTTAAAGCACAGAAATAAACACATATATGGACAGCTAATTTATGACCAAGAAGCCATAGGCATTAATGGAGAAAGAAACTATCCTCAATAAATTAGGTTGGAAAACCTGCACAAACACATGCAAAAGAATGAATTTTACAGCACAAAGAAAAATTAACTCAAAAGGAATGAAATACCTGACTATAAGACTTCAAGTATTTAGCAAATCATAATAAACAAATATGCAGGTGATAAGTTCTTTTACATTGACCTTGGTAATCTTGAGGATTCAGTTTCATCAGCAAAGAAAACAAAATCAAAAGAGAATAAGGTTATAGGGGCTGGAGCAATAATACGGCAGGTAGGACATTTGCATTCCTCAAGACATCCCTTCTTTTCTCTCCCCCCATCCCTCAGCATCCCATATGGTCCCTCAAGCACCACCAGGAGTAATTCCTGAGTGCACAGCCTGGAGTAGTCCCTGAGCATTGCCAGGTGTGGCAATGCTCATTGCCCTGAGCACTGCCAGGTGTGGCCCCAAAACAAAACAAAAACACACACACAAAAAGAAAATAAGATTTTAATAAACATCTAAAGACCATTGTTAGGATTAAAGGTCATCAAATGACTGAGTATTTCTAAGTACCAGACAGGGGATTAGTATCCAATTTATACCAACTACTCATGCAACTCTAACAAAAACCAAATATATTTATTTAAGAATGGGCAGAGGATCTCCCTAAAGACATATGAAAAAGACGTTCTTCATTAATTATTAGGGAAATGAAATGGAAACCACAATGAGATGTAACCTCACAATGGACTGAAGATAAGAAATAAGTGGTGGCCAGTATGGGAAGGAAACCCTCAAACACTGCTGAAGGGGAGGTGAATTGATGCCTCCTCTGGCAGCACAGTGGTCTCTCAGAATACTGAAAACAGAACTGAAAATACTCAAAGAATATTAAATGCAAGTTCAAAAGGACTTAGACCCAAATCTTTACTGCAGCACCGTTCATAATAGCCAAGATGTGGGAAAACCCTAATTGTTCACTGAGAGCAAAATGGTAAAGAGGATTTAGTATACATACACAAAGAAAGGCTGAAGTGATAGCACAGCAGTAGGCTGTTTGCCTTGCATGCGGCTGACCCGGGGGACGTGGGTTCGATTCCTCCGGCCCTCTTGGAGAGCCCAGCAAGCTACTAATATTATCTCACCTGAACCACAAAGCCTGGAAAGCTACCCGTGACGTAATTGATATGCCAAACAGAGTAACAACAAGTCTCACAATGAAGACGTTACTGGGCATGCTTGAGCAAATCGATGAACAACGGGAGGACAGTGACAGTGACAGTGAGACAAAGAATACTACTCCGGGGGCTGGAGAGATAGCACAGCGAATAGGGTGTTTGCCTTGCACACAGCCAACCCGGGTTCAATTCCCAGCATCCCGTATGGTCCCCTGAGTACCGCCAGGAGTAACTCCTGTGCATTGCCAGGTGTGACCCAAAAAGCAAAAAAAGAAAAAAAAAAAGAATATTACTCCATCACCCCCCCCCCAAAAAAAAGGATGTAATCTAGCTATTTGTGATAACAGGGATAGACTTTAAGGGGATTATGCTAAATGAAACACATTAGACAAATACCATAGGTCTTCTTTACAAGTGTGAAAATGAGTAAACAAACAAAGCAACATGACTCATTTGATGTATTCTAACAACAGCATAGGTGCCAGAAGGCTGAAGATTGGGGGTATGTGGGTGGGATGAAAAATACACTTTTGTGGTGGGCATGGTGTGGAATATTCAGATACTGAGGTGTGAAGTTGTAAACTGAACACTTAAAACTTTGTAGTGCTGTTAAGACCTTAAAAATACAAACAAACCTGAACTCTGGAATTTCTGTTTGTTGCAATGAGCAAATAGTTACAGATACTAACAGACAGACACAACTGTATCCCTGTAAAACTTTTTACTTATGGACATGGAAATTTCCATTCTATATAATGTTCATATGGACACAATATTCTTCTTTTGGTGTTTTTACAGCCACTAAAATGTAAAAGTAATTCTTAACTCAGAGATGTAAATAAAAGGAGGGTGGTGGGGAAAACGTACTTGCTAGTAGCAAAGCAATAATTACCATCTTTTTTTGGTTTGTTTTCTGTTTTGGGTCCAGACCCGCAGTGCTCAGGATTTACTCCTGGCACTGTGCTCAGAGATCGTACCAGCTCAAGAGACCATATACAGTGTTGGGGATTCAACCAGTGCAGGCTGTGTGGAAGGCAAGTGCCCTACCCAGTGTACTATCTCTCTGGCCCCACAATTTCATCCTTAGAAGATGGACATTAGATGGGGTCAGAGATGTAGTACAGTTGTGTAAGGCGCTTGCCTTGAGTATGGTTGACATGAGTTTTATTATGGTCCCCTGAGCACCACCAAGAGTAATTCCTGAGTGCAGACCTGGTAGTGATGCCTGAGCATCACTGGATATGGCCCCAAACAAAAGAAAAGGATGGAAATTCTAGCCAAAGAGATGACACAAGGGCTTGGAGTAGACACTTTGTACATGAGAGCTCCAGGTTTTATCCCCAGAACTGCATGATCCCTTGAGCACTGCTGGGTGTGACTCCTACAACTCACATGAGATGTGAGTTACATAAATGTATAAATTACACATTCTGAAAGGTGAATTTTATGGTATGCTAATTATATCACAGTAAAAATTTTAGTTGAAAGGAATAAGATTATGCTGATGCAAAAATGTAATTGTGCTACATTATAAAAACTGGCACAGAGTTTATGTATCACTGTATCACTGTTGGTTGTCCTGTTGCTCATCGATTTGCTTGAGCAGGCGCAAGTAACGTCTCCATTCGTCCCTGTCAAGTGCTAGTGTAGCCTGATAGTGTATTGGGGGCTCTTTCAGGGTCAGGGGAATGAGGACCGCCATTGTTACTGTGTTTGGCATATCGAGTATGCCACAGGTAGCTCTGCCATACGGGCGGGATCCTCAGTAGCTTGCTGGGCTCTCCGAGAGAGACAGAAGCTTTTGAGGTGGCCTCCAGGAAAAACTGCCACAGAGTCAGAGTTTATGTACAGATCTCAATAAAAGCATATCTCTCCACTCACTATGACAGCGAGAGATCAGTGGATAATGCACTGTTAAAAAACTTGACATTTTAAAAAATAAAGTACATTTAATGGATAATATATACATGCATCAGAAGGTATTTATAGGAAATATTTTATATTGAAATATAATATATTTTATTTATTTTATATTATATATTTTATATTATATTAAATAAAATATTATATATTTTATTTATTTATATATTTTATATTTTATATTACTGCCAATAAAATAATTTACGGAGACATGATTTTGCCCCAAATTCAATCTTATTCCAAAGGTATTTTTATGTTTTCATTTTTCTATAGCAATGATAATGGCTTTGATGATACCTTGCTATACAGTGAAATCATTTGTTCCCTCAAATATACTGAAAATCTGTATTTTAAGATTTACCTTTTGACCATCATGCTCAAAAGTTGAAAACCAAGGTTCTGCAGTTTCCATAAGTTGTGAGAACATTGCACTGAAAATGATAAACAAGACAAAGTGTTAACCTTTTAATTAAAGTAACAATGGTATTAAATAAATAAAAAATACAAAAGATTTTGCACTTACTAGGCATCATGTTCCAGATATTCAGGGTTCAAAAGAGTTTTCATTTCCTCACTTAAAAAAAAAAGCAATGCAAGTAATCAAAATTAGGAAGTTTTTAATCGAATGAGATGCAGAGGTTACCTTATTCTATAAATCAACTTTCATATAAAGTGCAAATAAAAAACTCGATTTTTAATAAAAAGAACAGACCCAGTAACACACAAGATTCTTTTTATAAAGATTAAAAATTAATTAGCTATGCTATTTGTACCACAGAAAGAAAACTAAGTATTCATGTTACAATATAATCCTTAAATGTGCCTGATCTACAATTGATTATTCCAAAGCAGAGCAAAAATATATAGTAATATAGTGACTGGTCAAATAGATATAATCATAACACTATTTTAATCACATTTCAAAACTGCTTTCAGTGACCTTGTAGGACTCTATTAGGAAGTGCTGCATTTACTTCTGAAAAAATTAGTTCAGGGGCCACCAGGGATAATCCCAGTGAGCTGGGAGGAAGAAAGGGAGATCCAATACTGAGGATCAAACGCAGGTTTTGCACACGTGAGCGAGTTTAGATAGGATTACTATTTCAGATCTACTAAGCTCAGTAAAAATGGAAAATCTTAAAAATTGTTGGTGTATATAATATATCAAAACTGAATTAGCAAGTACTTATGTTATCTGTTCAATAAAATCGATGATCACATGTGCTTGATAAGGAGCATACAGATAAACACATGAAATACTGTATGTTCCGTTTTTATTTTCTGCATATAGATGGACTAGCATGTGGAGTCCTCGAGACAAAGTTATAATCCTGCTGCCTTCCCTGCCTGAATTACTTCTTGGCTGCTCCTATGGCTCACCGGTTAGGGTATACCTTAGGTTTGAAAAAAGCAATTTTAACAAAAAAAAATTAAATACTATCACTAAAGTCATTTTCCATACAGTACAAGTTACTGCTTGTCAAAACAAGGACAAGTCTTTTAAAAAAATCATTTGTAAAAAGGGTTACTTGTGCTATTTTCCATTTGTGAACTGAATTGGGTCAAACCTGATGATGATCATGGATCCCACAGATAAAAGTTTAGAGTAAAAGACTGAGTAATTAGAGGATAATATATATGACTCCTAACTATCTTTAGTGCTCTACCATTACAACCAAACCTTGCTCTTCTTGATGCGTTTGTATCTGTGTCTTCCTCTAGCACAAGATTTAGGATTTACAAGGATACGAAGATTATACGATGATTCCAAATATGCCTCACAGAAGAACTGGGATTATAATTACTAAGAGCAATGAAGACACTGTGGCATGAAATACAATCAAATCGCTTACTTTTTTCTTTTTTTTAAAGTGACTTCAATTTAAGAGAATTTTAGGTGAAAAATATCCTAGTGAGATGAAAAAACACTGGGAGCGCATCAAAACTTGCCTTGGTTGTGCAGACTCACAGGCATGAAGAAATGCTTGGTGGTCACAGTGGAGGATAAAGACGATGGGAGCTAAGAGCTCATGCATGCCCTGAAACGGAAGGGGAAGAGTAATTAAGGTCAGGGGCTGGCGTCCACAAGTGGGCAGAAAAAGCTCTGTTGAAATGCTTCTGCAACTGAATCCCACCAACAACATTTCCATGGCATGTAGAAAAGCACAAATAGAAAAGCTACGGAATGAGATTTCATCTACTTTTAGAATTTGATTCCAATTCAGCCACAGCACGTATTCTTCAGAATGTGGGAGAGCAGTTCTTTTAAGTGACACAACAAACAATAAATTGGCATGGTAGAGAACCTTGCACCTGTCAGTTGCTTCAAGATCTGTACTCATAAATATGAATTTCACTTATGCAAATTATAATCATGAGCTACAGTGTAAGGCTCTGCAGTAAGAAGGGCAACTAAGAACTGTAGACCTAAGGAAATTACATCCAATGTTTTCATTATATAATGGTGCAAAATTAGGACGTCTGCGGATTTAGGAATGAGCTGGAGGCAGCTAGCTGGAAATACTGGATAATAAAGGAAGCAACCTTTAGCAGGTATAATAGAAAACAAAGTTCTTAAAGCATGAATCTCAACGTGATACCTCAGAATGTTGCCACACATCTTCTTTCCTATCAATTTGCTGGGTCACTTCCATACCATAGAAATATACAGGCATAAAATTAATTACCAAGCTGTATTTAAAGGGTATTATTAAAATTCCCCTATTGTCCACTATTTTAAAGGAAGTAAGAATTCCACATTCGAAACTTTCAGAAAGTTAAATATATATTATATATGCTTTGTGCCCTTAATGTGAGTGAATTATCATTTTCTTTTTGCTTAATAATAATGAATGATCTTCATAAAGGTAAAGGTAAAGGCCCTCCCGTTGATCGTCGATTTGCTCGAGCGGGCCCAGTAACGTCTCCATTGAAGACTTTGTTGTTACTGTGTCTGGCATATCGAATACTCTCGGTAGCTTGCCGGGCTCTCCGAGAGGGGCGGAGGAATCGAACTCGGGTCGGCCATGTTGGCCGCGTGTAAGGCGAACGCCCTACCCGCTGTGCTATCGCTCCACAAGACAAAAACAAAACAAAAACAAAACCAACAACCCCTTAACAGGATATAAAAAAATAAAACTGGAAAGCAAAAGAGAAATTTATTGCTGGCAGAGTTGTATAATATTTCCTACAAGAGAAAGGCAGGGCCCTTGGCACAGTCTCGTATTTTCAGCAAGCTAGTTATCGCAAGACTGGAGTGACAGTACAGCGCGTAGGGCTTGCAGCCGCAGACCGGGGCAACCCGGGTTCGATTCCTCGGCCCCTCTTGGAGAGCCCGGCAAGCTACTGAGAGTATCCCACCCCCACAACTGAGCCTGGCAAGCTACCCGTGGTGTATTCGATAAGCCAAAAACAGTAACAAGTCTCACAATGGAGACGTTACTGGGCCCGCTCGAGCAAATCGATGAACAATGGGAGGACAGTGCTAGTTATCACAAAATTGAATCTTGATTTTATCAAAGTTCACTTATAAGTAATCAATAGTCCCGAATGAAAGCAGTTAATGACATTTCTACAGAACAGTGGATGAGTTACTCACAATTTATTTTGATTTAGGGCAAATGGGCCTCACATCACTTTTGCCTTTTTAGGTAAATATCTCTTCACTAAACAAAAATTAAAGAAGCTATCCTGAGAAGAACACAGTAGAGAATCAGAAAGAAATAATCAACCTGAACTCCCTGTGTTTTAAAATCATCAAGAGGTGGTGATCTGGCAGGAAGCCAGCGGAGGAAAGTGAAGGTGGGTGCAAGGTCAGAGGTAAATTTGGTCATGGTAAATGGTACTAAAATTTTGGTAGATTTATTCCTACAACAAGAGCTGGCGGCCTGAGAGACAGTGCAGTGGGGATGGTGCTTGCCTTGCATGTGGCCAACCCTGCTCTGATTCCCAGCACCACAGTATGTTCCCCTAGTCCCACTGCAAGAGTGATCCTTGAGCACAAAGTCAGGAGTAAGCCTGTTGGGCGGAGCACAAACCATTCCTCCCTCTACAACAAACAAAAACTAAACATCATAATTTTAATCATCAAAATAACAGTAACTTGTTGAAGAAAAGTATAAAGCACAAAGCCACACAGCGAAATTAAGGAGGATAGTTAAAAATAGAGAAAAAAAAAAGGGGGGGGAGAAAGTTAAAAACAAAAAAAAAAGTAAAGAAAATATCTTTACCTATTTCTAATAGTTTCCTTCGAATGCTCTAAGTAGGACATTCTCCGTTAATTATAAAAACATTTGTGGGGCTGGAGAGATAGCACAGTGGGTAGGGCATTTGCCTTGCATGCAGCCGACCCGGGTTCGATTCCCAGCATCCCATATGGTTCCCTGAGCACCGCCAGGAGCAACTCCTGAGTATAGAGCCAGGAGTAACCCCTGTGCATCGCCAGGTGTGATCCAAAAAGCAAAAAAAAAAAAAAAACAAAAAACAAAAAACAAAAAAAAATTTGTTAAAGTATCTGAAACGTAACACTCTCTTCCTTTCTCTCTTTTATCTTCCCTCTCTCTCTTTTTCATCTTCCCTCCAGAACGAATTCCCTTACTTTACATTAAAATGGCCATCACAAACATCCTCAGCCATATTTCTAGTGCTTTTTAAAAAATTCCGTCAGTTTAATAGTTTAGTTGTTGTTTTAAATTATTTAAACGCTAGTGAGACTGAATGCAAACATTTCATTGGCCATTTTCTTTAATGAATTGCCCATTTTCTCTTAATGAAGCTGAAGTGTTTCCTTTTTTCCTGATGATTTGTAGAATTAGTTCCTCATCAATTCAGGGTATTAAGCCTTAAGTCACTTTTGTTGCAAATTTTTTTTCTCTGCATTTATCATGTCTTTTGCTTTCAAATGTATCTTATGTCACAGAGAAACTGTGCAACTCAAAATAGCAAAATCAAAAAATGATCCTTTCTGGATTCTTGGTTTACTTCCATGCCTCAAAGCAGTGCTCTAATATTAAGATTAGGTAAGTAAAAGGTTCTTTAACTTTTTAGTTTTTTCACGGATGTAACAATATTAAGAATTTAAGAGATTTAGTTTGACAGCTCTCTCCATATATAGTTGTTATGGGTCCCCCTGACAAATCTCCAGGGCTATTCCACCAACCTGAGCCCTCTCCTCACATCTCCCTTTCCCTTCTCTCCCGCTCGCCTTACCCTTGATAACCATCATTCTTTTCAGCGAGTTTAGAATTTTGTTGTATCTGGGAAGCTAATTCATTCATTTATTCATATTCCAGTCAATTATACTCAATAGAATACTACTTTGCATTTAAAAAAAAGATGAGATTGTGCCCTCTGAAACAAAAAGGGCACATTTTTCTTCAGAAGGGGGACCCTTCCGAACAATGCTCAGGGGCCCTGGGTGTCACCTGCAGTGACTGATGGCACTCAGTCGACCAGGCTAGATGACGCTTCAATGCTTGTCTCAGGCCCAGCGCCCCTGGGAGTATTCACAAGCATAGTGTTGCTCACGGACAACCTGTGGTATCAAAGGTCTCATGAACTTCAAACTTTTCAACTATCTTCGTGGCCCCCAAATGAATGAATCCTGTAGCAATTTGTTGTTGTTGATTTGGGGCCACACTGGTGGTACCCAGGGTTTATTCGTGGCTCTGTGCTCAGGAATCAAACCTGGCAGGTCTTGGGGGACGTATAGGGGGCAGGGGACTGAACCCAGGTTGGCCATGTACAAGTCAAGTCAAGGATCCTACCTGCTGTACTATTTTTTCCAGCCCACGAAGGTAACTTTTCTAAGTGAAATAAGATGCATACAGCTCATTCTTTATCCAACTGGTATTTATTTCTGACCTAAAAAAACACATTTTTTTTTTCTAAAAGCTAAACTGGTTTGTTAGTCAATGATTTATGAAATCTTAGCTTCTCCCAAGAGCTCTGAAACGTCAACTTTATCATTTATTTACTTTCTGTCTCTCTCTCTTTCTCTGATTTACTGGTGTCCCACTGGTCTGTATATTTCATTTTGGGGGGTGTAAGGAGGAGGGGTTTTCCAGGTGATGCTTGGACGTCTAGTGACCCCTCCCACAATTGTCAGTCAATAAGGCCTGTGGTTCATGCAAGACCCGAGTACAAGGAGCTGCCTAAGCACTGAGGTGACGGACAATATGGGCAATCTTAGTACTGCTGAGGTGATGGTGGGGATTTCTAAGGCTGTACCCAGGGCTATTCAGGTGACTGTGGATACTGAGAATTAAACCCAGACTGTGTATACCACTCCTGGGAATATATCCCAGAGATGCAAAAAAGTATAGTAGAAATGACATCTGCACTTATATGTTCATTGCAGCACTGTTTACAGTAGTCAAAATCTGGAAAAAACCCGAGTGCCCGAGAACCGATAACTGGTTAAAGAACCTCTGTTATATCTACACAATGGAATAGTATACAGCTGTTAGAAAAGATGACGTCATGAAATTTTCATATAGGTGGATCAACATGGAGAGTACCATGTTAAATGAAATGAGTCAGAAAGAAAGAGACAGACATAGAAAGATTGCACTCATTTGTGGAATATAGGAACAGAATGGGAGACTAACACCCAAGAATAGTAGAGATAAGTTCCAGAAGGATCACTCCACAGCTTAGAGACTGGCCTCACATGCTGGGGGAAAAGGCACCTCAGACAGTGAATGGAACACTAAGTAAAGGGTGCTAGGAGGGCCCACTCGGGATGGGAGATGCGGTCCAAAAGTAGACAATAGACCAAACATGATGGCCATTTAATACCTCTACTGCAAACCATAACACCCAAAAAAGAGAGAGAGCAAAAGGGAATGCCCAGCCACAGAGGCAGGGTGGGGTCGGAGGGATGCTGGGACCATTGGTGGTGGGAAATGGGCACTGGTGAAGGGATGGGTACTTGATCACTGTATGACTGAAACGCAAGCACAAAGGTTTGTAAGCCTGTAACTGTACCTCATGGTGATTCACGAATAAAATAAATAAATAGATAAATAAACCCATGCTG